TTCCTAAGTACAGAGTGGTGGGAAAATATTTGAGATGACGGAGGGAGAAAAACAGGCAAGAAACACAGCTGGGGAGGTGTCACCCTTCGTGAGGAATGAAGAAATGCATCATAATGGAAGTGGCCAGCACATAGCCCTCACCTACTTCACATATCTGGCTTGGTGGGCTCTGGGGAAGGGGATGCCATGAGCAGCATGAGAGTCAATGTTACCTGTGCAATGCCGCCCAGCCCCCAGCCTGCCCGGTTTCAGCAGGCAGCGAGACACTCTCCTCACAGCACCTAGAGGTTGAGCCGGGTGGTGTGAAGCTCGCCAGCTTTGCACCTTGCTGCCTGCTGAAACTGGGCCGGTTGGGGGCTAGGCAGCATTGCACTTCTCATCAGTTTCGCTCCACCCAGCTCAGCTCTTGGTGCTGTGAGGAGAGCGCCCCGCTGCCTGCTGAAACCCCTCCCCCGGAGCCCATCAAGCCGGATAAGTGAAATAGGCGAGGGCCATTTGCTGGTCACTTCCAGGCGATGGTGCATTTCTTCATTCCTCACAAAGGGTGACACCTCCCCAGCTGCACCCAGGGGGCAGGGCCGACACGGCAGGGGCTGTTTCCTCACTGTTTCCAGATGGCTTTGTGGAGCTAAGACTGAATGAGTTTCAGCATAGATGTCTACCACAAAATTGTACATTGGCTCCTGGCCGGCCTGGGCCAGGGCCAAGGCAGCGGGGGCCGTTCCCTCACTGTTTCCAGGATGGCTTCGCGGGCCACATGAAACCACTTTGCGGGCCGCATCTGGCCCCCAGGCCTTGTGTTTGACATGTCTGTAATAGTTCATTTAGTGACCATTTGAAGTTGCTTGGCACTGAAAAAAGGGACATGACTGTTTCACACACCTGTGACTGCTGCAGTTATCCCCATGGTCACATGATCAAAATTCAAATGCTTGACAATTGATTCATATTTATGATGGTTGCAGAGTCCCAAGGTCATGTGATCCCCTTTTGCGACCTTCTGACAAGCAAAGCCAAAGGGGAAGCCAGATTCACTTACAACCATGTTACTAAGGTAATTACAGTGAATCATTTAACAACTGTGGCAAGAAAGGTGGTAAAATGGGGCAAAAATCACTTAACAATTATCTTTCTTAGCAAAAGAAATTTTGGGCTCAGTTATGGTCATAAGTCAAGGATACCTGTATTTGCAAGAATGCCCCTGGATGTTATATAATCTTAGAGAATATAAACGGTAGATGGTTTGTTTAGAAGGGGTTTGTTTAGAAGTTAGCCATCATGATGATAAGACAAAAATGGAAAGCAGAGGACTCGTTAATGTCCATGGAGGAAACCTAGAGGAAATAGTGTGTTTTTGAGACTATTTATCCAGATGACATTTTGTGAATGAAGAAGCCTTTCCCCATGGCAGACATTTTGTGAGATAACTGATAACGTTCTATTAAATTTCCAGATGTGTTCAACTAAGGCCCAAAAGATGTTTTGGGCTCTATAAATATTCCTGCAATTTGTAACATTTCTAAACCAAGAAAACAGATCCAAATGCAAAATTTATCTCCTCATCTCAAATGTACACAGGAAATGGGAATGTTTGAGAAGCCTGCATGTTCGTCTGTATAATTTCCTCATCACTTGAAGAGAATGTAGTGTGTAAAAAAGGATTAAGCATCACAGTGTTACAAAATGAAAGTCAGTTAAGCTTGTCTAGAAACTGTTGTCTTGTTGCAATCCTCAATAATGACATACTCCTGGAATAGCAGACCAATCCAGTCTTGTGTCAACTGTGCTTCTCTATTGATAAACCCTGTTGTGAATAGCAGCTGTGCGGATATAATTTGAAAATGTAACATAGTTCAGGGTAGCTCATTGTTAGCAGTCTAGTTCTGGTTTACACGTTTTTCACTCGAGATCTTCAGCATATTGTTTAAAGTTGTAGTCTAACAAATGAACACGTGATTGTTATGATACTTTTATTTTCAGAAGAAATAAATTGATTGTGCTCAAATTGAATAATTAAAAACTTTTTAATTAAGTTCTGCTTTTATAAAAATAAAATTCCATAGAAATATGGTAGTACTTAGAAGTATTCTATACAGGTAGTCCTTGATTTATTACCGCAAGTGGAATCAGGATTTCTGTTGTAAGTCATTGCTGTCATAACTTGAATCATCATGTGACCTGACTTGAGTTTGCAACCATTTTTATGATGGTCATAACTCAAATCATGCAACTACAACACTACAAATTGTCACATGACTGTTGGACACTACAACTATTTGTAAATGCAAGCTGGTTCCTAAGTGCCAGAATTACAATCAAGTGACCACAGGGGTAGGGCGATAGTTGTAAGTCCCAATTTAGGACTTAACTCACTTTTTTTGTGGCTATAATTAATTCAAACCATTGTTAATAAAAATGGTTATAATTTGAGGATTTTGAATATTCAACAAGATAACAAAGAAAGATAGTAAAACTAGCTGTATCAAGAAGCACGGTAATGTAAACCATTGTTAAGAATGAGAGAATATATTACTTGTGTGATTGGTCCAATGCCACTAATTGATTTAGTGGTCGAGGCACCAGACTAGAAAGCAGGACATCATGAGTTCAAGTCCCCTTAGCCATGAAAGCCAGCTGGGTGACTTTGGACCAGTCACTTTCTCAGCCCAACCTACCTTACAGGATTGTTATTGTGGGGAAAATAGGAGGAGGAAAAGGTGTGTTCGTTATTTGTAAAAATAATAAAGGCGGGATACAAATAAAATAAATATATTTTGATCAAATCAGACAAATCTACAAAGTAGAACAATATTTGGAGGAATACCCCCTCTGTTGATGTCAGTATTTGGCCTTGGAACTTTAACATATGTGTAATTTCAGTGACAGAGGTTGGGAAGCAATGATGTAGACCAGGGGTAGTCAACCTTGGCTCTTTTATGACTCGTGGACTTCAACTCCCAGAATTCCTGAGCCAGCACAGCTGGCTCAGGAATTCTGGGAGTTGAAGTCCACGAGTCATAAAAGAGCCAAGGTTGACTACCCCTGATGTAGACATCCAGCGAACATAAGGAGGAATGGGATTCCATCCACTGGTCAAGGAAACCATGATGTGGTTCCTTGATGGTCACACTTTTAACCTAGAGGCTCATTTTTTCTAGTATCTGATGTTTAGGAGACATAGATGTAACCAATCGCCACAGCCTCATTCCTTTTTCTATTAAAAATCACACAAATATCCCATAACAAGGAGATAAACGTTGAAGCCAAATTAAAAATAGGTTTTAGACTGTAAATACTGATATAGTATTTATTCATACAGTTTTCAAATTTAAAATGCCTTAAGTCTTGATTTTTTTCAAGAAAAACAGGATATTTCAGCAAAGTAAAAATAAAGCCGTAGATCTCTTTCTGGAGTTCATTTATTTTATATTCAAATTGCTTGTCCCAGTGTTGAAGTAGAGTAGTATAAAAGCTGGATATATTTTAGGCGAAAGGTGCCATCAGTCTGTGTCTGTTGGCTGGAATCCTAACCATATGCAGTTCCATATTTTCTATTGTAGCAGCTACAAGTAAGACAAATAAAAACAGATAAAGGAAGATTAAACCCATTTTGTTCAATAACTCCATCTGATTCTGTATAAAGTAATATATTCTCTGTCTGCCTTACATTTATATTCATCTTATACTTATTTGGGCTCCTCTGCTTAATTTATATGATTTCTTACTTGNGTAAGTCAATTGTGGGGCCCTTTTTATTTCATGCTTTTGCTGCCAGATAAACGTAACTGCTATAGATGTACTTAGCTTATACCTGCTATAAAATGTCACACTGCACTTTTTAAAAGAGGATATGTCCTTGAAAAGTTTGGCACCACGTGTGGGCTTTAGGAAGTTTTTGATCAAGTCTAAAAACTGTGTATCTGTTTTAATTAGCTTTGAATACTGCCATCTCGTGTACCTTTATCAAAACAGGTGGGAAATTTAATTGGTTATGGGCTGATGAACTACTGTTCATAGTTTGCCTCCTTTGCTGAAGGATTATGTAAATAGTATATAGCAGCTTTAACTGTATGTAAATACAAACTTTCAGGTTTTTATCTTTCTGATTAATGGCCAAGCTAAAATTATGACAAAACCTTTGCAATAATCTGAGTTACTATAGTCTATAAAATCTGCACACCTGGATGAAATTTGTCCCTTTGAAATTTGTCCCTGCCTTAGAGATGCATGAAATAAAACAGCACTAGAGCTGCTTAGTCCATTTTATATTTTTGATCACATGAGTGTCTGCTGTGGAGCCCTTAATATAAACTGCTGGAAATAACTATTCATTAAGAAGCCAATTTCTTCAGCAATGTTTTCTCTTACAGTAAGATAACTACCATGAAAAGTTTAGATTAGGAGTTGTTTAATATTAATATTAGAGAGTATTATTATTAGGGAGATTCTGCACCCGTAGCTCTAAAAAATATTAATAGCGACTCATACATCTTAGGCAGAACGTAAAGATTGCAGTGGCCTTTTTTGCTTAAAAAGAGCACACTTATTTGGAGTTAAACCAATACTTCAAGAAGTTATTTTCATTTTAAATCTTAACCTTTGTTAGGACTCTACATTAAGGTAAACTGAGTTGCTTGAATAGTGAATAGCCAGTTTTAAATAATTTGAAATATTTCATATGTCTGGTTGGTACAAGCCAGGAACATTTAACAAGTTATTGGTGCAGTTTTAACAAAACAGAAGCTTTACTCTTTGTTTTATGTTGCAAAAAGAAGAGCCGAAACCTTCCTAAGGGATAATAAAATGGTGTAATAAAAGATGGTCAGATATATATCCGGTGCCTAGAAGCTGCAGCTGCTGTTGGTTCCCCATATGGCAGACTAGGAGAGAGATGATGCCTCTACCTCAGTGGAAATTGTTTACCGTATAATATACAGAGGCTCCAAATAGTTCTATCCAATACTGGATATTGGATACTAGATCAGATGGTCCTGTTTCATCCATTTCTTAGAACATGGGTGTCAAACTCACCGCTTCACATGACGTGTCGCGACGTATCACGACTTTTTTTGCATTGCTGGAGCTGGGGCGGGCGTGGCCTCCGCATGATGCAACTGGCCCACAGGCCAGCAGTTTGACACTCCTGGCTTAGAACAAGCTTGAGGAGAAAATGTCTTTTTAATTATTATATTGTTGAATGAAACTTAATTTGAATTCTTCTTAAGGTAGATTCATTAAAAGCAATAGAACTTTGTGATGGTTAACTTAAATCATTTTGGATTTCCACTGTCCATAGTAAAGAAAACTAAAATTGGGTTTCTCATTAGGTGCATATATTGCTACGATCAATATGTTTTTGATCCATTGTAATTTCCACCATTAATATTCTCCCCTCTTCATCTGCATAAATTTGTTTAGGGTTCATCTTTTCTTTAATATAAAGGGCTATTCCTCTTTTCTTTTGAGATGCAAGTTCTAAGTAGAGTTTACCAATTTTTGGTTGTTCTAACAATTTAAAATGTTGTTTCTTAATGCGTGTCTCTTGAAGACAAATTATGTCCATTTTTGCTTTTTGTAATCATGTAAAAAATTTCCCTTTTTTGAGGGAGAATTTAGTTTATTTATATTTATTGATAAAATCCCGGTCTCCTCCAACTCTTTCAATTATATCTAGGTCTCAATCTTCTGGTCAATCTTATCTGTGGGTTTCTCTTATTGTTACTTTTGTAGCCTGGATTGCCTTACAATTATTATTTTTATTATTATTTGCTATTTTCGGTTTGTACAGTAGGTTTCTTTTTATGGGCATGATACTTACTTCTCTTTATCTAATGAATGACTTTTATCTGTTTTTTTCTTTTAGATTCCATCCTGGACAAGGATTAGTACTGTATCCAAAGATTGGAGATAAACTGGATATTATATGCCCAAAGGTGGACTCTAAGATTGGTGGTCAGTATGAATACTACAAAGTCTATATGGTTGAGAAAGACCAAGCAGACAGCTGTACTGTTAAAAAGGACAACACTCCTCTGCTCAACTGTGCCAAGCCTGATCAAGATGTTAAGTTTACCATCAAGTTTCAAGAGTTTAGCCCTAATCTCTGGGGTCTAGAATTTGATAGAAACAAAGACTATTACATCATATGTAAGTGAACAATGACTTTGTTTCCTTTCCTTTTTCATCTTGCTGTTTCTTAATTTATTCATTGTATTCAATCAAGTAAGAAGCTTAAAGGATTTATATTGTTTTCATTCAAAGTATTTTCATGGCAGCTTATTATTAACTTCTTCCCTACTGTTTTTAGATCTTGTTTTATTTCCAGGTTTTCAGACAACTGGGGTAGGCTGAACTGGCAATGTTAGCAATGTAATTTATGAATACCTGGGTATCTTAATATAGTTTTAAACAGTATAAAGAAGAAGAAAACTAAGTTATGCTAGAAATTAAAGGGCTGTATCCCATAGGTCATCTTTCTGATCTAACACATTTTCCCTGAATCCCATTTGCAATATTAAGACATTGGATTTTTGACATGTAATGACATATAATAATATTCAGTCAATGTTCATTCCGTGATAAATAACAACAATCCTGGTTTGTAATAGAATGACACTTTAACTTTCAGTTAAAAGAGTTCAGTGTGTTTCCTATACGCACATAACATACAAGAAAAGTGATCACAAAGTGAGGTAATAACTTTGAATAGAAAACATAAAATATCATTGGAATAAAATTTATTTGTGCTTGCATGAACACTTTTGTTTTCTACTATCAAAAAGGAGTATGATTAGCTGGCATGGCAGTGATGTCAGGAAAGAGGTGAAAGGATGGGTTGGAGAAAGCTTAGCTGCCTTATCTTGTGGCAGATGGTGCTTTAAAGTTGAGTGAAAATAAAGAAGTTGGACGCTCCTACTTCTCAAGAGACCATCAGCGCAATAGATGCAGTTGTTTTTCTGGCAATAGATCATTGCTGTGTCCCAGCCATACATGAGTGGTACAGTTTCTTTATTGCGAGTTAATTATCCATAGATTAAGGTAGACATCAACTTATAACCATTTGCTTAGTGACTGTTCAAAGTTATAACAGCATTGAAAAAAGTTACTTACGACCGGTCCTCACATTTACAAAAGTTGTAGCATCCCCAAGGTGACGTAGTCAAAAGTTAGGTGCTTGGTAATTGGCATGTATTTATGATGGTTACAGTCTTCCAGAGTCATGTCTTCACCATTCATTACCTTCCCAGACAGCTTCCCATAAGCAAAGTCAATAGGGCAATGTCAGATTCACTTAACAAGCTTGTGATTCTCTTAACAACTTCAATGTTCCAGTTAACAATTGTGGCAAAAAAGATTGTAAAATCAGGTTTGACTCACTTAACAACTGCATTGCTTAGCAATGGAAATTCTGGTTCCAATTATGATCCTACAGAACTACCTGTAATCTACTTATTTGGAAATAAAAGAAATGATTTTATTAGGTCATTCCTATGTACATAGGCATAGTATTTATAGTATAGTATTAAAAATACTATTTTTGTTTTTAAAAAACCATTGTCTTACTTTTGAATCATCCCTGAAAAACAAAGTGCAAGAAATTCCTTTTATGATATTCGTTTTAAAATGGTAAAGAACAGAATGGAACTAAAATAAGTAGTAATAAAATTAATAAATTCATCATATGTACAGTCAATATCAATAAAATTCAAGTGTGTATTGTTCAGAACAAAAATAGAATATTGAAAATGTAATTTGGTGCAAGTATGATCTGTTTTAAAATATGGCTGTTGTAATTTTAAATGCAAGACTTTTCAGTGCCTAGGACTTCTGAGAAAGAAGCGAATCAATATATTTTGTATTGCTAGAATAAAAAGTACAGAACTGAAACTGGAGATAGTAGTCAGTACTCCTTATGAAAATGTACAGTATAACAGATCCGTCTGTGCTCAAATAGCTGTTATGAAATATATCAGTTATTTAATGCTTTGGGGATTAATTTTCAATAGTAGGCCAACTGTGACATAAATGGTACCATTTTAATTATGACTTGAGAGTTATGGACAAATGGAACTTATGGAAAACTGTCGGCTTTGTCATATCTGTGTCAGTAATATTCTAAGTAAATCCATAAATAGGACTCATTTTCTTCATTTTTGTTTAATTATTTCATTATGGTAATACAATATAATAATTACATTTCCGGGAGGATTATAGCATTCTTTGGGCTTTAGAGAATTATCATCTTTCAGCCTGGTGCCTTGGAAGTGGTATCAGACTTACTGTAATAGCTTAAGAGGGAAAAATTGATAGGATCTTATAGTGGATCTAATTTCTGATCACAGGTCAGTGTACAATTCCCTGAAAACCCCCCTCAAAAATCTATTTTATTTCATAAAAATCTGACCATAGGTTGATTCTTTGTTTCACACAATTTTTTAAACAAAAGTAGTTTTTAAATTTGCCTATAAATCATATCAAAAGCCTGAATTCAGATGCAAGAGTCAAATACCTGCATGCGAACAAAGTTAAGTAAAAGTCTGAAGAAAAGTAGCCAAATTCTATCTTTATTACCTCGTGGTCATTCTTGAAGAAAGATGATATAGCACAAAACAAAAAAGAAGAGACAGAGGGTAAATCACAGAGTGAATAAGAGTAAAAGTGCAAATAATAGATTGTATTCCTACCATTTGCAACTTTGCTAAGTAGAAATCTGTACAATAGTAGACTTACAGCAGTTGAGTCTGTCTTGATTACTATAACAAAGTCTCCTAAGGTGTGGTTAACTTAATTTGCAGCTCTGTGTATTTTTATTGGGAATCCAATTTGATTCCTTCCAAGTAGCTTTATAGGGAACCATATCCAGATATTAATAACTATTGAAAGTATATCTCAATAATAACACTTGATATAAGATACATTCTCTCCAGTTAATAATTCTTTCATGAAGGCTCTTGTAATCCATTTTCGTCACCAACCTTTTGGCAGTAGAAAACAAATATAGGATTTAATCTTGGTTCCTGAACTGACTATAAGCTAAGGTCAGGAAAGGAGTGACTTTCTCCTTGTCTTCAATTTTACTTTTTTCTTTTTTTAACCAGTCATGATTCTAAAACTTTGACAACTTTTAACCTACTGGTAGAAGTGGTAAGTAACTTTGAAACTGTTCACCTTTCAGTAAATGGCTCACAATATGATTGTTACCCACCCAGATGGTAAAACGGGTGGTAAACAAACACATACACATACACATAAATAGATAAGGTAACTTTCAAGCACAAATGAGAATGGTGAACTAGATTCAATTATAGATAATCCTTGCTTAACAATCATTTGTTCAGCAACTGTTCAAATGCTGTCTTCTTCCTGGCTGCACCAGACCTCTTTCCAGAGGCCACACACACCATTTTGTGATGATTTGGAAGGCTTCTGAAACCTTGAGAGAAGGTGTGTCCATCGTTCTTCAAATTGACTGTTCTCCGAATTTTTGCCTTCCAAAGCATCAGGAGAATGGTACATGTGAAGGAAGAAGGTGTATACATGGGACCAACAGTTGCTGGGGGCAGTAGGGCCTGCATAGTGCAAGGTGTTAGGGACTTTGCACTGGGATGGCTGGCTGCAGCCCAGGTCTTGAGGTGGCATTCCTCGGCAGTGGTGGCGCCACCAGCATTGGCACTGAAGTTGCAGTCCAGGGATGGCAGCACCTGGCTGATATTGCTGAAGGCACAGGGCTCTAATTTAAGCTCCAGTGCCGTCGGTTTTACCACTGCACAGTACTGCTGTGCAGGGTGGCCAAAAGAGTAGAGATGAAGGGAAGATAGGTAAACTGAAGAAACAAGAATTACCTTATTGAAACTTGAGACGGGGAAGGACCAAGCTGGGAATGGCTTGGATCAGGGTCCCTTTCCTAACAACTGGTGGAGTTTGATTATAATTCAACTCCACTTTCATCCAGAGAAGTTTCCTGTAAATAAATATGCATGCAATCTCTCTCTCTCTCTCTCTCTCTCTCTCTCTCTCTCTCTCTCTCTCTCTCTCTCTCTCTCTCTCTCTCTCTCTCTCTCTCTCTCTCTCTCTCTCTCTCTCTCTCTCTCTCTCTCTCTCTCTCTCTCTCCCTGTGTGTGTGTGTGAACATTGTGGATAGAACTAATGGATGTAGAATCTGTGGGGAGTGCATTTTTCAATTCACCGGGGTCTTGTAAATGTACTAATGTGGTTATTATAGAATGCCTTCATTCATATATGTGCCATTACATAGGCAGTGCCATCAGTTGATCTCATTTATAGTTAGACAGAAAGATATTCCAGAAGGGAGTATGTAAGCACCATTCTCATTCTCATGGGTAGCAAATGAGAGAGAACAAGATGACTGTACTTGTTAGTAGGCGGGAGCTGGTGAGCCAGTCTTTTCCCCAACGTATGGCAGATATTAAAGTACACAGGAAGCTAGAAAACTGTGCTTTACAACTGAAAATGAAGTATTTCAGAGTTGCTTAGAAATGCTTTTACTGATTTATAATCAGCTGAATATTTTTAACTGGTTTGTTTAATATTTCATGCATGCATGAACACACAAACACATAAAAGTTTTGACAATAAAATTCTACAAAGGAGAGACTCCTTTTTCTGCTTAAGGATCCTTTATGTATTCATTATGCAGATTGATATTAAATTAAAGTAAAATACTTTAAACATAATAAATAACTTAAACCACTGGTTACAAAGGCTTAAACACAGAAGTTTGATTTTTATGTATTTAAAGCATCCCTATGACTTAAGTAGAACAACTCCCATGTGTAAAGTTAACTACTAGTGTAAAACTATGCAAAATTAGTGCCCTAAGGCTCTTTTCCTCCTGCAGTGGGATTTGAAGAATTCTCATTAAATCAGAGGAAGTCATTTGCATCCTGTAGAAGAGTAAGTCTGTTTAAAAAAGTCAGAATAAATTTAAATGAGTAACATAATGCAGTTTGCAAGTGTGTTTATTTTTTATGGATAGATATGATAAGCAAAAGATACATAAAATATTTAATTGTAGAGGTGGAATAACAGAACCATAAAACATATATTGTAAAGATGGTACAGATTCCCACTTCCAATTTTATACATAACTTTCCCTTGGAGTATTTAATAGAATAAGAAAAAAGCAT